TCTTTCTCTGCACCTTTTAGCTTCAGCAGTATTGGGGGTGAGAGGTGGAGGCGGCACCGGTTCTCCTTCTTCTTTTAACCACATCTTTTAACCACCTACCTTACCTCATTCCAAATCTGATCCATCCTCCAGGCCAATCTTTGCCCACACTGACCTTATCCTCATTTATCATTTATACCACTCACGTTTTGTTGCCTTCTAAGCCATCCTGGCCCACTGGACTTGGTATCTGTGGCACAGTTATCTTCACAGATTTTTGTTTTTCAATGACCTTTTCCTATCTCTCCAAGTCTAGTTGAATCTGTCAACTCCTTGAGGGCAGGGCCAACGGTCTGCTCCTCTGATGCCGCTGGAGACACGTGTGTGTCCCCTCCTGGGGGGAGGGGCCTCTGCTCCGGAGAAGGGAGATTGAAATGGTTGAGGCTGCACCTGGAGGCTGCACCTGGAGGCTCCTGGAGAAGAGGAATGTAGTCTTCTTGAGCTTCAGATGTTTGTGCCTGGAAATGAAGGAATTGCAGTACTTGAGAACTAGTTTCCTCCGGCCCCCAACATCACCTTGCAAACAGGAAAATGAGACATCCACGGCATACCCGGAGTGACCTAGGGGACCCAGAGACTTGGCCAGTAAGAAGTTTATCAAGCCTGAACGACTCAAGCCACGCTTTTTAAGGCACCCCTCTCTATCCACCTGTGAACAGAAGCAGACTCCCCACAACAGTTCTTGATCTGGAACAACCCCCCATTTCTGTGTGAGCGCTTCTGTCCATCTCCGTGTGTTTTGAGTTTTCCTACAGCTTCCTGGGCCTCTTCGTCTATCTGTAAGCTTTTACTTTTTTTTCTTTCCTTTTGGTTGGGCTTCTGAGACTTACTTTGAACAACTTTCTCCTGGCTTTCCCAGACTGTTCGAAACCTCGTTTCTTGCTTTGCCTGCGCTCCAGGCACCCTCCGCGCTCCCAGCCTACCTCCGCGGCTGGAGAGCAGCCCCCTTCCTCCCTCGCCGCCCGCGGGCTCCCTGCCTCGCCCCGCGGCCGGGCACTGGTCTCGCGCAGAGTTGGGGGAGAGGGGGCAAGGAGGGCTTGCCGGAGGAGGGGCGGGCACCGCCTCCAGCCTGGACTGGGCGGGGCCCTGGGAATGGGCGGAGGCCCAGCCGCGCCCCCAGGCCCCAGCGCCGGCCCGCGCCCCTCGGACCGGAGGAGAGGGGCTGGCCCACTGCCAGCGTCTGAGAGCCGGCCCCCTCCCCCGGCCCTCTCGCAGCCAACCAGGCACTCCAGCGGGGTCCACGTGACCTGGAGTTCTAGACAAAGAAAATGTTCGAGCCCTCCCCCCCACCTCCCCCCTCCCCCTCTCTCTGGCCCCCTCCGCCCCCAGCCCCATCGCCCCCTTCCCCTCCCCCCAGACGGGCAGCTACTTACAGAGCTTCAGGGCCGGGGCTCACACCTGAGCCGGACCACAGAGGGGCTGCACCTGGCCTTATGGGTAGGTTCCTGGACGGAGCCCTGGGGAGACTGGGGGCGGGGAGGAGGCCGGGGCCGGTGGGAGGATCTCTGGGCCGCTGCAGCCCTCTGGGTTTGAAAAGAGTCAAGTATGCCTCCCTGGCCCGACTTCTGGAGATGCTGAGTTAGTGCTGTCCCACCCACTCCCTCCTCAGGAGCCCCGAACCCCACTCCTCTCTGCGCCCAGGTGGGACCTGGCAGCTCAGAGGCCAGGAAGAGCAGTCCCTGCGTGTGAGCCTGGGGCAGTGGTCACTGCAGGCTGGGTTCAGGCCCTGGCCGGGCAGCTAGGACACCAGGAGTTGGGCCGGAAGCATCGTTTTGCTGAGTTGGCTGGCAGAGGGGTTGTTGGCATTCACTTGCTGACCTGTGTTCCTGGCTGGTGGACCATGCTGTCCCAGGCTGTGCCAACCTTGTGGCTCCTTGAGTGGGATAGTTTCCTCTCCTGGGTGGCCCTGGGAACCACAGGACAGGCTGCCAGAAACAAGTGGTGGCTGGTGGTGGGAAGGAACAGTGTGACCCTGACAGGGGCCTATGGCACCTCAGTGGGTGCCCTAATGGGAGAGGCGTCTGGGACAGTCCCAGATCTACAGTACCCGCAGGGAGCCCACGTGGGCGCCCAGACCTCTGACCTTTGGAACAGGAAACCGCCTGAGTCCCTGAGCTGCAGAGGGAGGTGGAGGCAGACAGCTGCCGGGGAAGGTGGGACTGGATGGGGAGGCCTTGCCTCCACCAGAGTGAAGTTACCAGTGGCTTTCCAGGCTGGACAAACTCCAGACAAAGTGGCTCCCTTGAGCTGCAGCAGTGGGTGGTGGTGTAGTGTCTCCTAATCATGCCCCATCTCTTGGCTGCTCTTGAGTGGGACCTTCCGAACTGAGGCAGGAGGCTTTAGCCCAAATGCCCGAGCCCTGAGTTAACCCTTCTTTCTCCTATTGTTTGCTTGGGTAGGAGGGTTGGAGGGAGGGTTGGAGTGAGCGTGGAAAAAAAGGCATTCCCACACTGCCCTAGGCAGACTATTCTAATGAGGCCCCTCCCCCACCCAGCCACTGTCTCTGCCTCTTCTTCCCCTTTCCTCTTGCCTCCTGCTGCTAACCCCCCCTTCCTTCCCCAACCCCTGCTGGCCGCATCCCGATGGAGGCCCCTTTCCTCCTCTGCCTGCTAAAACCGTGCTGGGTGCGTGTTCCCTTGCACCCAGTGAGTTGGAGGGGTGCTTAACAGCCGTCAGCAGCAGCATTGACAAGCTGGGGGAAGTTGTGGGGGAAGAATAATGTTCAGGAACTTGCTGTGGAGAGGTTGAGAAGAGAGACAAAGGGGCTGTGGGGGAGTTAGGAGGGTGGTGTCAGGCACGACTCCTAGACTTGGGGAGCCTGGCGCCCACCCGCTGCAGCTTGCTGTGGAAGTGACTTGGCTCCTTTTCCTCGGAAGGCCCACTCCCCCTCCTGCCTCCTGCCACCTACACACCTTGTTCTGGCTGAGGGGTGCCTGGTCACCCCTGGAAACGGGGTCTGTGGGTCAGCCAAGGCAGCAGCACCCTGGTCTAGATCAGTCATCCATGCCTGAATTTCGAAGCGGCATGGTGGAGCGACTATTGCAGAGACAGGCATGGCCTTTATCTGTGAGCGCATCTGTGCTGCCTCAGCTGAAGACTGGAGAAGAGAACCCTCCTCCCCCATAGGGTTGAGCCCACATCGAGGTGCACCTTCTTGTCGGTGAGGAGGTGATAGATAATTGAGAGTAGGAAGGGAAGGGCAAACTTCTGCCAGGTGTGAGTGGGGCTTGGACGGAGAGCAATTACCCTGCATACTTCCACCCCACTGGGATCCAGGAGCTCATTTTCCCAGCTGTTTGTGGGCTGGGGGCAAAGAATGCGTTATCTCATTTTAGAATTTGTTGACTCAGGGAAAGAACAAGGACTTCATCCTTGTGCCTTAGAAATTGCCACAAGATTTGGTGTGTGGTTGGGAGGCAAAGACTTGAAGACTGAATGAATTAAAATGAATCTGCAAGACTGTAGGCCTTTAGCTTAAAGGTTCTTAACCTGAGACCTTGGGGTCTGGAGGTACATTGACAAGCTTTGGAGAGTCCTTGGCATTTTTGATACATGTATACATCAGGTCCTCAAACTGGTCAGAAAAGGTTAAACAGAGGTCCTTCAGTTCAAATGCCTTTTTAGGTTGGAGCAACTTGGAAGAGAAGGGACTTCTCCAAAGGCAGCTGTTTGTTAATTGCAAGGTCTAAAACAGGAAATGTAGATGCTCTGATTTCCAGCTTAGAGCTCTTATCTGTATCAAAAGTTGCCTTTTGACAATACATATTTTTTATTTTGAGGATGGGCTTGCAGATGATCGAGTGGGCCCTCTGAGGGTTCTAGCCCTCTGGCCCCAAGGGCTTGGAGCCACCAGAAGGTATATACAGGTGCCCACCCAGCCTCTTTGAACTTTTGGGAAAAGCTTCATGGAGAAAGCCATGCTGAAGATGAGAATTTTTTTTCTCTGAATCTCGTGTGGTGGAAACCAGTGCAGAGCCTTGAAGTGTGAGGGCTATGTGTCCTAGATTCAGTAGCTGGAGTGAGATTAGACCGAATGATTCTCAGAGCTAAGCACCAGTGATTTTCATTTCTCCCTTCAGGGTGATGGGAATCCCAGAGCAGGTTATGAGAAGGAATGGGCATGCAGGCCATAGCCCGGAAGCTGAGTGAGATGGTGATCCCATGGAGGCTGTCCACTTGGGAGAATAATTGGGTTTGGATTATTTGTCAGTGAGAATGTGGAGAGGACACTTTACCTATAGTGTGTGCTCAGTAAATAACTGTTGAAAGAAAAAAGTATCTGTGGATCTGAAAGGTGCATGCAGAAAGAAGTGGTGCATCTAATAACAGAACATACATCGAATATAATCCCAAGAATTCCAGAATGGCATGTGAGCATGGGAGCAGGCAATGTCTTATGGGGCTTTCTATGGTATTTGAGCAGATGGGGAAGGAGATGCCCTCTTTGAACATAGAGCAGCGATTCATCAGCAGCAGACATTACAACAAAACTGGAATCATGAACTGGAAGCCAAGCCCAGAAATAGGAGGGGTTGATTGCCCAGGAAGATTGTGGAGAAAAAGACAAGAGGATCCAATTCTTGATTGGGAAGTAAGATAAGAGAGGATGGAGCTAAGATCTGTGCCTAAGCTAAGGTGTACAATTAATATTTGAAAAGAATTAACCTTTGCATATTAGAGGGTGGGCAACTGAGAAGGCTGACAGATTGCATAAGATTTCCTAAGAAGCAGAAGAAAAGGCTGGAATTGAGCCAAATGATTTTAGTTCACCTCTCCACTTCAAATCCTTCTGTTCCATGGCAAGCCAGAACAAAGTTGAGTTGCCGATGGAAGAACTCTCTCCAGCCTTTTGCTTTCCATCATTGTCTCTGGATCACAGAAATGGAGAAGAGCCCCCTGTGTTGCAGGCAGCCTGGCTGATTCCTGGAGGGTCAAGGTAACTTCTGTTCTTGTTTCTTCAGGCTGAGAAGAAAGCCAAGGTGATTGCAGTAATGAATGCTGTGGAAGAAAACCAGGGGTCTGGTGAGTCTCAGAAGGTGGAGGAGGCCAGCCCTCCTGCAGTGCAGCAGCCCACCGACCCTGCCTCGCCTACTGTGGCCACCACGCCTGAGCCTGTGGGGGCCGACGCTGGGGATAAGAACGCCACCAAATCAGCTGATGATGAACCAGAGTACGAGGTGAGCGGCTGGCTTCTCTCCTTGCCTGGTCCAGCTCTCTCCTGGGTCTCCCCACTGCCAGCTCCTCCCACTCTGCTCTCCTTTCTCCCCATGACCCCAGGCTTCTCCATCTCTCCAATCTTGTCTTGGTCCAATCAGATGGAGCTCCCTCCTGGTTGTTCTGACCCTCAGATGCCCGGGGCTGGGGTTGCCAGGGTGGGGATCGGGGTGGCAGGGCCTCATGACCACAATGTAATGACTTATGCTCCTTGGGGCTCCAGGACGGCCGGGGCTTTGGCATTGGGGAGCTGGTGTGGGGGAAACTGCGGGGCTTCTCCTGGTGGCCAGGCCGCATTGTGTCTTGGTGGATGACGGGCCGGAGCAGAGCAGCCGAAGGCACCCGCTGGGTCATGTGGTTCGGAGACGGCAAGTTCTCAGTGGTGAGTTGGGGTTTGGTGGTAGCCTAAGGGAGGAAGGGGGTTTTAATCCCAGGGCCTGTGGCTTGGCTGGGGGCACAGTCTGGAACTGGAATGGTAGTAATGGTCTCTGCTCACTCCCACTCTGTGTATGTGTGAAAGGAAGAAGGCCTAGAGAAAATCACGTTGCACTCATGGCTTAGAGGGCTAAGATGCCTGTTGGGTTCTTGCCTTCCAGAGACCCTTCCCCCAGAATCCCTTTTCGCTTGTGTTCAAGTCCTCCTCTGCACTGAGGTTGAACTCCTCCTTTGCATCATGTAATTATTTATCGATGCATCTGGTCCTCTCAAGGGCAGCGCTGAGTCTTACGGTTCCCACCCCCTGCCAGTTGCCAGGCATGTGGTAGGTGCTGAGTGAGTGGAAGCAGGGGCAAAGGAGGGCAATGGTGTTTCTCCAGGTGTGTGTTGAGAAGCTGATGCCACTGAGCTCCTTCTGCAGTGCTTTCCACCAGGCCACCTACAACAAGCAGCCCATGTACCGCAAAGCCATCTATGAAGTCCTGCAGGTGAGTGCCCTCTGAGGAAGAGGGCCAGCACCATGAGCTGGCCTAGTAGCTGGAGTGCAGGGCTGGGCCTGGGCTGAGGGGCCGCCTGTGAGGCTCTTTGCCCCCACCTTGCCGGCCCCCTTTCTGCATTCTCCCTTCTCAGACTGTCCTCCCCTCTCCTGCACCTTCTCCTCCCTCTTGCCTGGGCCTGCCTTTATTACCCTCCGAGTCTGCCCTTCTGCCCGCTCTGACACCCTCCCCCACCCTTGTTGCCCTTCAGGTGGCCAGCAGCCGGGCAGGGAAACTGTTCGCAGCATGCCATGACAGCGACGAGAGTGACACTGCCAAGGCCGTGGAGGTGCAGAACAAGCAGATGATCGAGTGGGCCCTCGGAGGGTTCCAGCCCTCTGGCCCCAAGGGCTTGGAACCACCGGAAGGTATATACAGGTGCCCACCCAGCCTCTGAGACCCTTGTCAGCCAGGCAGCTCTGTGTCAGGGATGGGAAAGCCATGCTTAGCCACTGAGGCCTCCGTTGAGGGGCCCGGTGGGATATGTCCACAGTCTTCCTCTCCCTGGAGTTCGGGGTAAGGGCAGGACTGCTCTGGGCTCTGAATGAGCCATTCCCCATTGGCCTGCTGGCACTGAAGAGTGGGAGCTAGGAACAAGTTGGGGACCAGGTTGCACCCCATTGTAGATAGACTACAGGAGGGGAAGGAGCTGGGATTCCTTGTCAGCTGGTAACCATGACCTTGTCACCTGCTTTCCCAACGCAGAGGAGAAGAACCCCTACAAAGAAGTTTACACAGACATGTGGGTTGAACCTGAGGCAGCTGCCTATGCACCACCCCCACCAGCCAAAAAGCCCCGAAAGAGCACAACTGAGAAGCCCAAGGTCAAGGAGATCATTGACGAACGGACAAGAGGTAGTTGGCCTGGCTCTGGCGAGAGAGGAAGGCAGGGTTGGCTTTCAGAGAAGCAGGCACGCCCCTGTGGCCTCCTCTGATGCTGGGCTCTCCTCTCCTCCATAGAGCGGCTGGTGTACGAGGTGCGGCAGAAGTGCCGGAACATTGAGGGTGAGTCCTGCAGGGATAGCTGGGCACTGACTCTGGGAAGTCAGTAGCCTGTTGCCCCTGGGATGGGCAGGAGGGCTTGGCTCCTAGCGTGGTGCCTAGTGCAGAATAGCATAGGTGCTTAGAAAGGTTTGAATGACATGGGACATTGGGGCACAGTGATGGGGTCTGTCCCCCATGGCCTATCCTGCTTCACACATATATCGGTCTTCCTTGTGCCACAATCTTCCATATCAATGACATGGGTTGGTCATTAGGGTTTGGGATACTCCAGTGGGTCAGAGAAGGGTGACCCTCTTGGAATTAGTTGAACTTGCCTCAAGATGACTTTTGGCCTTTTGCTTTTACTGGCCTCTTTCTTTCCCAGTGGTCATCAGAATGTCCCATGTCTGTCCTCCTTGGTCTAGTGATTGCTGTGTCTGGCCAGGGTCCTCGGGGCTGGGAAGGATGGGGCTGAGGCCCAGGACTGTCCCCAGAGTAACCGAGGGTCGGGGCCCAGTTCTCCCCAGCACATTCCTGTTCTTGTGTTAAGCTTTTCCTGGATGGTGGCACTGCTGCTCTGAGAGATGAATGGGCTTCTGAAGATTGGGGCTTCCCTGTTCCATGGGGCACCCAGATTCCTTTCTGCCTTTATTTTGGCAGCTGCTCCAGCCTTTTTGTAGCTTTTCTGGAGCTGGGCTTTGGCCTGAAGTGGCCCTTCGGTGACACTTACTCTGCTTTCCAGACATTTGCATCTCTTGCGGGAGCCTCAATGTCACCCTGGAACACCCTCTCTTCATCGGAGGAATGTGCCAAAACTGCAAGGTAGGGGCACCACCGGCAGAGGCGCTGTGAGGGTGCCCCTGGCCCCCCTGACCACCCCCTCACCTGCAGGCTCCGGGGCCCCTGGGGCAGCCGTCATGTCCTCTCCAGGGTTTGCTCTGGAAACAGAGAGACCTGAGAGAACATAACTTGGGTTTCAAGCATTTGGCTTGCTGTGACTTCTCCGAAAGATTCTTTCCCCCACTAAGGCCCATTGTAGTCCCCAGATCTGGGTTCATGGCATCACAGTCCTGAGTGTGACGGGTGAGGGAGGACAGGGTGACTGACAGGGGGGTTGCCATGCCCCGTGGGCCCCAGGAGCCAAGCCTAGGGCTGCCACAGGGAATGAGGGGGTGCAGCTTTCTCCCCGACCTTGCGCTCAGGCCCCCCTCAGTGCTGTCCCCTTCCCAGATCTGTGGTCCAGGCTGGACCTGGTCTGGACAGGTGGCAGGGTCATGTCTCCAGGGCTAGTCGAGGCTCCCAGCTCAGAGCCCAAAGTCTGGGTTCTAAGCCTTCCCTCCCCCTGGTTGTCCTGGGTGCGGCCTGGTGGTCTTACCCTCCTCCCTGGTCTCTAGAACTGCTTCCTGGAATGTGCGTACCAGTACGATGACGATGGCTATCAGTCCTACTGCACCATCTGCTGTGGGGGGCGTGAGGTGCTCATGTGTGGGAACAACAACTGCTGCAGGTGAGGGTTTCTGCCCGACTGCGGCCACTGGCACTCGCACCCCGCCCTGCCCTGCCCCAGGCCCTACCCACACTCTGCCTGGGGCTGGCCCAGGGCTGAGTCCCTCTGGTACATTGGGTTTCCTCCCAGGTGCTTTTGCGTCGAGTGTGTGGATCTCTTGGTGGGGCCAGGGGCTGCCCAGGCAGCCATTAAGGAAGACCCCTGGAACTGCTACATGTGCGGGCACAAGGGCACGTATGGGCTGCTAAGGCGGCGGGACGACTGGCCCTCTCGGCTCCAGATGTTCTTCGCCAATAACCACGACCAGGAATTTGTGAGTGCTGGGCCCAGGGCATGTCTTTTCATCCCCTCTCTGCCAGAGCCCGAGGGCAGACTCAGCAGAAGCAAGAGTGTGTCTTTTGGTCACAGGGCAGAGGCACCCACGCTTCCTGCAGGGAGTGCAGGTCTGGGAAGCCAGAGCACTCGTAGCCAGCTGGGAGGGCCAGCCCTGGGTGCCTGTCTGTAGAATGCCTCTGGGTGTTCACCTGGCCTATTGTGCTCGCTGCCTAGGACCCTCCGAAGGTTTACCCACCTGTTCCAGCTGAGAAGAGGAAGCCCATCCGGGTGCTGTCTCTGTTTGATGGAATTGCTACAGGTGAGAGTGGCGCAGGTGCTGAGGGCTGCTGGCAGCCTCTGCCTGGGACCTGGGGCTCTGCTTGAGGGACTGTGTGTGTTTAACTTTGTCAAAACAAAACAATGGTTAACATTACAACTGCTAAAATACTGCCCTAAAGAGGAAACTATTGTGTTCAATGAAAACTACAGTCAGTGGTAAACCTGGTAAACCAACGTGTCCGGTGGGCACTTTTCTTAATGGGGGAGGCTCTCTGGCAGACAGCGCGATCGTTAGGCAGACATTATTGGAGATTTTCACAAAGCCTCAAAGGGCAGACTTGGCGACCCAAACAAAAACATAAGCAGTTCTGTTGTGCTTTGATTGCAAGTTGCTTTAAAAAACAAACTATAAATGAGAGTGTACAGAATATTCAAATCGCCAGTAATTCAGTAATTACTATTTCGGTATATGTCCTTTTAGATTTTGTTCTTTGCATATGTGTGTGTGTGTTTATATAATCATACCTAGGTAGATAAATAAAACAAAAGGTTAGTAAAATGCATACTGTGTTGTAACTTGCCTTTTCATTTATATTATTACTTTTTTATATCAACCAATACGGAACTACATTCTTTGTTTGGAAATGCTGCATAGGATTCCACTGAGTGAGAATACCATCCATTATTTAACCCTGTACTGGGTTACTATTTTTTTCACTGTTTCGAGCAGCACTGTGACCAGAGAGAGCATTTTCATACATACTGAAATCACTATCTTTTAGGGAATGCTGGGCCACTGTGTAGGCACTGTTTTTTTAATTGAGTTCTTGACCTTGCCACAGAAAGCCCTCCTGAAAGGTGGTATTGATGTATCTACCCCTTTGCCTTGTCCCCTGGCTCAGGGCTTCCCAATTCTTAAGAAAGGAGTAGCCCTCCTCAGAGCTTGTGTCTTCTTATGACCAAAGGGAGGTGGACAGTCTGAGCCCAGAGACCTTGGTTGGAGGGCAAGGGTGGGGATGGCATCCCAGGCCAGATGTTTGGCTTCTCTTCTTAGCTCAGTGCTGATGTTACATAAACTTAGGGAGGTGAATGTACAGCTTTGGTTTCTCAGGCCAGCACCTTGAGGACTTCTTAAACCACGTCCCACCCCAAGAAGCTGTAGAAGCCCCTTCGTGGGGAGGTCTTTGGGAGCAGTGTACATGGTGCTGTGATACCCGGTTTCTCCTGATCCTCTCAGGGTCTGTGCTCCTTTCCTTGCCTCAACTCAGCAAGCATTTGTGGAGGGATCGTGGTAAGGAAGTGAGGGTAGGGAGCTCAGGAGGGAGCATGAGTGAGACTTCCTGCTCTGTCTTGAAGACCATTTGTAAACTAAGAGAAGGGCTGGATTAGGATTCCATGCTGTTCTAATGATATGGAGAGGGACGCAGAGTGCTGGAGGTGGGGAGGTGGTTCCAGGGGCCCGCAGGTGGGTGGGGCATTGATGTAACCTTTTTAGAGCAAGTGGTATTTATGTTGGGTTTTAAAGGATGGTCTTAAAAGCAAGTCTTAAAGAATTGCAGCAGGAGATGACATGGGGGGTGAGGAAGAACCCATGTATGCAAGATGTAGACACAGCAAAGGAAGGCCATCCAAAAAGTCAACTGCTCTTCTCCCTGGTTCCGGAAACCACCTACTTTCTGGTCTTGACCCCCTTCTAAGATCAGACTAGGTATGAAACAGCCATGGTGCCACTGTTACTAATTCTCCGGTTTGATCCAGAAGGACCCTGCAGCTTGCTGGGCAGGGTAGGGCTTGGGCCTGTCAATGACCCATGTGTCCAGCTGGCCAGAGGGCTCCCCTGTGAAGACAAGGGTGCTAGGGAGGTGACCCGGTGACCGTGCTTTTTGCTGGCTGGCGCAGGGCTTCTGGTGCTGAAGGACTTGGGCATTCAGGTGGATCGCTACATCGCCTCAGAGGTGTGCGAGGACTCCATCACGGTGGGCATGGTGCGGCACCAGGGGAAGATCATGTACGTCGGGGACGTCCGCAGCGTCACGCAGAAGCATGTATGTCGGTGCTGTGGGGCCCGTCCCACCTCCACGTCCCTTGCACTCAGCTCTGGGGGCAGCACCAGCTCCCTTGTTCATTTGCTCTTTTCCTTCCCTCAGCCTCTCTTCTTCATCTCCCATCTCCCTCCTTGTCTCAAGAGGGTAATGGGCAGATTCAAATGGGAATCGGGGAGCTGGCCTTTTTGGGCTCCGGCCACTCCCTGGCTAGTTTCAGGGCCCTCTTTACTAGAGCGCTTTGGTTTGGTTTGGAGTGAGCTTCCCGTCTTCCCAGTACTTGTGATAGCTTTACCAACCTCCATTTCTGGGGGACTCTGGCCTCATCTTGCCTAAGTGACCGTTTCCCCTTCCAGTTACGTGTGTCTGACCCTGAAACTGCAGGCTCTCAGGAACCCTGAAGGGCGTGTGAAGGGTATTCAGATGCCCCAGATGCCCAGCCCGAAGTTGGCAGAGCATAGAGTATCTTCACATCCAGCCGTCCAGCCTGGACTGCCTCCCCACTGAGCAGCTGGTTTCCCTGCTGGCCTCAGAGATTATCCAGTGGGGTCCCTTTACACTATTGTTTAGGACATGAGCCCAGAGAGGCTCAATGTTTGTATGTGCGTGCGTGCAGCATATATGTAGTACGTATGTATGAACATGTATGTAGTGAGCATACAAAGCAGCCGGGTCTCCTCTCCCGTGCCAAAGTACTTTTTTGCCGAATTCACAGATAATTTCTCTCTTCCTTTCTGCCTCTGTCCCTGGATATCAGGCCCATCACATTACCTTTATCCTCCCAGATCCAGGAGTGGGGCCCGTTCGATCTGGTGATTGGGGGCAGTCCTTGCAATGACCTCTCCATCGTCAACCCTGCCCGCAAGGGCCTCTACGGTAGGTGCTGTGCTCACCCTGCCCCACCTTCTGAGCTGGTGCTTCCGCACGTAGGTTTTCTCCTTGGATATTTCTGCCCTGGGATAGCTACTCCCAACAACCCTGTCCTCCCTTATCCTCCCCATGCCCAAGCCACACCACTGTCTCATGCAGACAGCTCCAGCTGATGGCTTTCTCTTCCGTCCTCTCAGAGGGCACTGGCCGGCTCTTCTTTGAGTTCTACCGCCTCCTGCATGATGCGCGGCCCAAGGAGGGAGATGATCGCCCCTTCTTCTGGCTCTTTGAGAATGTGGTGGCCATGGGCGTTAGTGACAAGAGGGACATCTCACGATTTCTCGAGGTATAGCCAGCAACCTTGGTTTGGCCAGCTCAGTAATGGCTTCTACCTTGGATTGCTGCTTTATCCATGTCTCATCTGCATTGTGGAGCTGGGGACTGGTGACTTCTGCTTTGCACGGGGTCCTTTTGGAAGCTCAGGGCTTCCCAGTTAGACAGGAAGGAAGCATTGCTGGCCACCCCAGAAAGAACCCCTGGTCTTGCTCTAAGAGGTAGTATGTGGAGCCATGTGGCCTCATGGCTCGAAGGACCTGCCTGCCACTAAGGCAGAGTGCCAGACCCCTGGGGTTGGGGTCCTGTGTGGTGTTTCACTGGGGGAACCTTTGAGATGCCAAGTCCATTTTCTCTGACAAGAATGGCTTGTCATCGCTCCCTGGCTCCACAACAGATGTTTTATGGCACCTGGAAGAAAACATGACTTACTCAGTTTGTATTCCCATAATGCGGGTCCTGACTCTGTTCTGAGCCAGGTTTGAGTCGTGTGCAGAGGATTTCAGTGGCCAGAGGCCTTCTTGGTGTGGGTAGTCTGGGAGCTAAAGCCCATGCTCCTGAGCCTTAAGGTCAGTAACACCTCAAGCTGGTGTTCTTAGTTTAAATGCAAGCAGGTGTCTTTTTGGCTTTTAATCTGTACAGTGAACACGTGCACACTCAGTGGAACTTCCTCAAAGACTCTGGGTGAGCTAGAGCTCTGTGGTCTGGTATGGTAGACATTAGCCGTGCGCAGTATTTAGATTAGCCTTAAAATTCCTCAGTCACACGAGCTTCATTTCAAGTAATCATTACTCACCGGTAGCTGGTCGTGGCCACAGCTACTGTATGGAACAGTGTAGACAGACAACATTTCCATCACAAATGTTCAGTTGGACCATTCTGGTCTAGAATGTTCCATTGAGAGCGTGTGGAATGTGGCTAGGTTGAATTCTGGCTTTTCTTGGAGGCTTCAGGCTGTCCAGGTGTGTGGCCCCTTGGCTTTAAACTGAAATTTCCTGGCACTATTTACTATTCCTCTTTTGCTCATCTTCAACCTCTCTCCTGTTTTATAGTCTAACCCCGTGATGATTGATGCCAAAGAAGTGTCAGCTGCACATAGGGCTCGCTACTTCTGGGGGAACCTTCCTGGTATGAACAGGTTGGTGAGAGCTCCCGGGCGTGGGGTGGCTGCCGGGTGGCGTCTGCAGGCAGGAGAGCGGCATGATGGCCTGAGGAGGGGGCCGCCGAGTGAGCCCTCTCAGGCTGGCTGCCTCTGCTGACCAGTTCGCTGCTCTGCCAGGTTCTGTGTTTCCTCTTCCTTGAGAAAGAGGGAGAGTCAGGATGTAGAAAGTACTTGCCTGAAAAACCAGCCACTAGTGGTTGAACATAGGACCTTTGAAAGCATGTTCTTACACAACAGAAAACTCAGCATGCTGCTGAGTCATATCCGGGTTTCCCTACATGGGTACCTAGAGTCAGCTGGTTCTCCATCTCCTGAGGGTAAAGCCGTGGAGGATGGGGTTGGGGATGGAGTCCACAGCTGGACCACATCCTGTTCCAGGAGATGGAACTCTGCACCAGCACCATGCAGGCAGTCCCGTTCTGCACTGTTATCCACACATTTGGGGGGCTTCAGGTCCTTGTTGGAAGGATGATCTTTGGGTTACACAGAGAGAGATTTTAATAGCCAGGAATGAGGAAAATTTCATTTCTTGAGTGTGATAATAGGCATTATAAAAAGGCCTATGAGAAAAAAGGAATACTGATTGAGAGTCAGCAGGTGAAGAGCAGGGTAAGATCCACCCATCATAGATAAGTATCATGGAGGGAAATATTTTCCAGAACATTGTGGTTATGGATTTTAAACCTCCTTGGTAACCTATAATTGGCAGCATCATTGCATGTGGCCCCAGCCCTCTGGTGTCCCTCCATTGCCGTGCACTTCCGGGCACTGCCCGCCCCTCATCCCATTTGGCAGAGCTGCTGTCTTTTGCGCGCGTGTGTTGATGGGACAGGGATGGGTCAGTGGGGCAGTAAAAACTGTCTCCGGGTGCTCCTAACGTTCCTAAGAGGTGCATGCATGCGTCCTGAGAAATGGCTGGCAGATGTAGTCCAGTATGTCATGGAGCCACTAACTCTCTGTCTTCTGACAGACCTTGGTCCTACGGGATTGTTCTCATTTGCCTCTTCCAACTCTAAAATTCTAGAACTCTGAGCTTCAAGGAGGAGCAGAGGTACTATGTGGGACCAAGTAGAGTACGTGTGTGCATACACAGGGAGGAGTCTGGAGGCACGCAATTTGCCGCAGGTCCCGTGGTTCCCACGCTGAGGTGGTGGACACTGTGCAAACCCTTCATCAAGTATTCCTAAATGTCAGGAAAAGCCAGTGCTGAGTGTGGTGTTCAGTGATCTATCTGGTCTGCTCTCTGAGAAGTAACATGCTCAGTGACACAGAATTTTAGTCTGCTGGGAACTGTACAGAATATAAGTATTTTTAACTGTACGTTTAAGCATATACTTTGATGAATTTCATCCAGTGTACACACTTGTGTGACCATCCCCATAGTCAGGATGAACATCCTGTCACTCCCAAAGCTTGTTTCATGATGGATGCTTTTAAAACTCAGTGTATTTTTAAATAACTGATAGAAAAATAATTGGGTTTTTCCCCTTCTGGGCAGATGTCTCTGACCTGTTTGTAGTGTGAGACCACTTTTGAAATGTACCTTAAAGGATGAATGTTTGGTGGATTTTTATCTGTGTGTGTGAGAGAGAGAAAGGGAGAGAGAAAGAGTCAGGTGGCAGCTGGGTGTATCCCCACTCTCGTGGTTTCTGTCGTTACCTCCTTCTCTCTTCTGCCCCCTAGGCCGTTGGCATCCACTGTGAATGATAAGCTGGAGCTGCAGGAGTGTCTGGAGCACGGCAGAATAGCCAAGGTTAGACCCAGCGTCAGAGCCCTCTGCTGGGGGGCAGGGAGAGGGCAGAGGGCAGGGGGAGCTAGAACAGCCCCCAGGGCTGTGACCCTCCTGCCTCCTGGGGCCCTGTGGGAGCAGCTACCCTGGAGAAGGCCATTTAGGAGGTGGCACAGGTTCATGCACCCAGTCGGCCAGAGAGGAGGGTCCAAGGGAAAGCCCGGGGGGCAGGGAGGAAGACAAGAAATCCGTGCTGACGTTCAGCCCTTCCTCCTTGGGTGCTGCCTATTGTCCTGTGGGAGGCAGACACTAGGAAGTCTTGCCAAGGTCCCTGGATCTGCTGGGGCTTACAGGTATTTTGGTTGGGACCTAATGTACGAGGCTTCAGAGCAGAGCATTCGCCTATGATTTGGAAGCTCCGTTTCTCTCTGGAGAGGTCTCCGAGAGTGAGTATAGCAGTCGTCAGGTTCCGTGAAAGCAGGTGCCAACACTGGGACCTGCTGGTACCCCAGAGGTGTCTTTGAGCCCTTGAGTAACTTGGCATCCTTTGACTGCATGTCACTATACCTGTGACAGTCTTCTTAGAAGACTTAGGAAGGCTAGTGGCTTTAGCTGGTGCCTCCTCAAGTCCTTGGCCAGTGGGATTGGACTTAGAATGGCCAGGTGACCTCAAAGTCAGAAGAAGAGCAGGACAGTGGGGTCTGTGGAGGTTCACAGCAGGAGCCTTACCGCAGCCCCCTGGATGGACCAGGCCTCATCAGTGTTATACGCCAGTCCCTGCTGGTCCCTGGCAAATGTCCGGCACATGTGTTAGGTGCATCACCAGCAAAAGGGTGCTCATTCTTCCTGTCTTCTTCTCCTCTTCTAGTTCAGCAAAGTGAGGACCATTACTACTAGGTCGAACTCCATAAAGCAGGGCAAAGACCAGCATTTCCCCGTCTTCATGAATGAGAAAGAGGACATCTTATGGTGCACTGAAATGGAAAGGTGAGGCCACCTGCTGGCATCGTGGGGGGTGTGGCGTGTTCTGATGCCTGTTCTTAGGGGAAGGACCTCTGCCTGTCATGGTCAGGCTTGTACCTTCACAGATACATGTGAGCAGTGAGTTGCTCCAAGTATTTCCCAGCATGGCAGATTCCTGGGGAGGAGGCCTCTGCACTGTGAGGCTGGTCCCCAAGTAAGAGGCGTCTGGGAGTCAGTCCCTGATACTCGGCTCCCAGAGGACCCGCTGACCTCCAGGGAACCCTGCAGCTACACGGAGCTTCCTTAACTCAGGCTGCTCGTTTTAGGTACTTTGCAGACCGGGAGGGCATAGGACCAGGTGGGTTTACAGCCTCAGCACCCTGACTTGGTGCAAACCTCCTCATTCTCGGGGTAACTGTGATTTAACCAAGGAGACCGTTTACATAAACAACCTGAGCAGACAGGAACTCCTGGACTTTGGAGTCAGGCAAGAGCTTGGCTCCTCTGCAGCGTTTTCCCTTCATTTGTGGAGAAGATACTAGGGATGTCTGTTCATTACATATGGACTTCAGGTACCCATTGTGGGTCTCAGTCTGTGGTGGAGCATATCCTGGAGGTGTTTTTCACAAATATGAGCTTCATTTCTACCATGTGGTACATCTCTGGGCAGTGATGTTCTTACTTTCCTTTAAATCTACAGAAAGTAGCAGGGTGCTCGAGTCTTGAATTGGTTCTAAAGAACAGGAGATTCAGGAGAATCCCCCACTCCAGAGCTCACCCTGCCCTTTTCTGCCTTCTCTCCCCAGGGTGTTTGGCTTCCCCGTCCACTATACTGACGTCTCCAACATGAGCCGCTTGGCCAGACAGAGACTCCTGGGCCGGTCGTGGAGCGTGCCGGTCATCCGCCACCTCTTCGCTCCGCTGAAGGAATATTTTGCTTGTGTGTAAGGGACGTGAGGGCAAACTGAGGTAGTGACACAAAGTTAAACAAACAAAAAACACAAAACACAACAAAACACCAAGAACATGAGGATGGAGAGAAGTGTCAGCACCCAGAAGAGAAAAAGGAATTTAAAACCACAGAGACGGGAGTACCGGAGGGCTTTGCCTTGCAAAAAGGGTTGGACATCATCTCCTGATTTTTCGATGTTAATCTTCAGTCCTATTTAAAAACAAAACCAAGCTCCCCCCTCCCCCCACCCCTTTTTTTTTTGGTCAAACCTTTTGTTTTCTAATCTTTTCAGAGGGGTTTTCTGTTTGTTTGGGTTTTTGTTTCTTGCTGTGACTGAAACAAGAGAGTTTATTGCAGCAAACATCAGTAAAAAATAGTAACAATACCTTGCAGAGGAAAAACGGGAGAGAAGGAAAAAAAGGAAATTCTATAGAAATTTATATATTGGATTTTTTTTTTTAACTATATATCTTTTTTTGTTGTTGTCTCTAGCCTGATCAGATAGGAGCACAAGCAGGGGACAGAAAATAGAGAGACACTCAGGCGGCCGAATTCCCTCCCAGCCCACTGAGCTGTCTTGCCAGCACCATTCCTGGTCATGCAAAACAGAACCCAACTAGCAGCAGGGAGACGAGAACACCACACAAGACCCTTTTATACAGTATTTCAGGTGCCTACCACACAGGAAACCTTGAAGAAAATCAGTTTCTAGAAGCCGCTGTTACCTCTTGTTTACAGTTTATATATATATGATAGATATGAGATATATATATAAAAGGTACTGTTAACTACTGTACAACCCGACTTCATAATGGTGCTTTTAAAACAGCGAGATGAGTAAAAACATCAGCTTCCACACTGCCTTATGTGCACAGGGGTTTAAGGATGGAGAAAGGGAGATAGCTTGGAGGGGAACTGTTACCACAGTGGGTCTTCCCCTTGGTGTCGAACACGGTGGAGGAGGAGGATTTGGGAACAGCTTGCTCCCGCTTCTCCCTGCCAAATGGGGGTGAGGTGAGGTGGTTGGCACCGTGGAAAGCTGAGAGTGGAATTCATCCAGACTCACGCAATAACCTTTTGATTTTTTTCAAAAAGACTCCCTCGGCAAGATGGCAGGATAAGGGGTCTTCATTCCCAATTTCTCGCATTAGCCTATTCGAGGGCTCCTTGTGGGATCAGAAGTAATCCAGAGTGCGGGACAGTGACAGTCAAAACCCCACCTGGAGCAAATAAAAAAACATACAAAACGTACTGGTGCTTTCCTGTCTAAGTCGCCTTTTGTGTGTTCTTTTATGAGGCCCCCACCATCCACCCTCTGCACAAGGCGGCTTCCAGCTCCTGGAATGTGATGTTTTTGGTCATCTCCAAAGGCTGCAGTTTTATACTGGGAGGCTGATGACACCTTTTGTTATAATTATTATGATTCTGATTATAATTATGTTTTGTTTTCAGATTTTCTTTAAGAAAACAAAAACCCAACCCCCCTCCCTCTAGGTTTCAAACCAAGGCGTGGGGAGCAGGGTGCTTCTCTAAGTTAGTGGTGGCCCTGGTGCCCTGGCTCCCCACCCCTCGGGCCAGGTGGGCCACCGGGTGCAGCGACAGCTGGGCGGCCGGGGAGTCCCCGAGGCCAGCCTTCCGGGCGCGTCCCCCTTCTCTTCTGCTTCCCCTCCTCGAGTCACGTGTGTCAGGGCTGGAGGGAGGACCGGGGTGTCTCTCTCCTTGCGTGTGTGATTGGAGTGGTGTGTATTTCTTTTCTAGTACTTGGTCTGATGATAGCTGTGCTCTTACCTCGAGTCAGCAGCACCTGGAGCCCCAAGGGCACAACACTTGGTTCCACCTCCTACCAAGGCAGGCAACCTGGCGTTGGCAGTAGGCAGGGACAGCGTTGGTGGCTCCAGGGTGAGGGCCCAATGGGCAGATGCTTGCCTGGATAGACGGGGTGTAGATATGTGGCATATAGAGATATATATTTTATAATGGGAGGGGGGATGGCACCTCCTGGGACTGGCAGGACTGGGAGGTGTGCTGTCAAGCACAGGGTCCCAAGTTCGCATCCCTAGAAAGATAGGGCCTATGGTGATAGGCGCTATATAAATACATAGATAGGGTCATTATAAGAAATATTATGTAGTGGGGAGTTGGGGAAGCGGGCTCAATGCTGAGCCTTGGGTCCCACTGCAGACATAAGCCCCACACCAATCAATCAGTCCCACGTGCACACACAGGAACATAATTCTCTACCGATGCATAATGAGAGCACTCACCACACCCAGCCAGGGAGCTCCCGGCGCTCTTCTCCCCAGGATTCAGGACTTTGTGGAGTCGGCCCTGCAGCTCTTTACCTCTGTTGCCCTGATTGCAGGTAGACTGTCAGTCCCAGAAGTTGCTAGGTGCTGAAGGCGGGAAGAGGAGGAGGTCTTACTTTAGCAGGTGCTCTCTAGCAGGTTGTGTTCTCTCTCTTTTGCCCCTGGTGATGTCAAGAGTCTTCTGTTAGCAACCTGTGCTACTGACCTGCAACTCTAGGCACCAGTCAAGTCAGCCCTCAACTCCCCCTACCTGTTCCCCCACCCCCCAACCAAAATCAAATTGACATCTGCTCTGTCTTGGCCAGGGGGCTTCCACTGGAAAAAAAATGGGACAGTGAACCTCATCTTTTGAACAAAACAAATTAGTAATTGGTGACAAAACTAAACCAAGGCTTTGAATCCCTTGCTCATTGCTCAGGAGTAAGCTCACAGCCGGTGGCCACAGTCCCCTGCGCCTTTCAGGGGTGCTTAGTCTTGGACCCCAAGCTACTCATTTCCTTGTCAGATTGCTTTTTAAGATGACATCCAGTTGTTTCTACCAGTTCCATGACTTGATGGCAGATGGTGATGGGGGTCCCTGTGGGGCTGGAGCAGCCAGGAGAGGGGATACCTCCGGCCCTCCCTCATGGGAGTCCCTGTACCTAACTGTGGTGCTCACCCCGTCCCCTCCTTCTCCAGCCAGGTTCCATCTTCCTGGCTTGGACTCCACCAGCACCACTCCAGGAGGGCTGGGGGGAGGAGGGCTGCCTCAGGCAGTCCAAGGTGCTCCCTCCCCCGCTGGCCAATGCCAAGGTCTTCCCAGCCCCCAGTGTGGGATGGAGTCTTTGTGGGCCTTCCTCTGCAAACACTTTGCAGCTCTTCTGGCTCTCTTGGGCCTTTTGTCCACTGCTTATGTGAAGGACTTTGCCTTTTCCAATGGCCCAAGAGGTTGGTGTGGGAAAGAAACTTGGTAGCCACGGATGTGGAAAGCCTGAGGGATGAGCGTGGACTGGCCGACCTGCTCAGAGGAGGCCCAGTTGTAGTTGATGTTTAAGAGCGTTTTTGTTCCCCCTGGTCCATCAATTTGATGAGGCCCCAACATGGGCCAGTGCCCCCTCGTGGGAATGAGAGCTAACCACCACCAGCTTTTTTTCTGGCCCAGCCCATGGGGCTGGTCCTATGGCAGGGCTTGGTAGGGTGCAGAGGACCTTAGAAATGCGCCAACTTGACCATGCTGGCATGCGCTGAACAATCTACTTCCAACCGTGGGAGCATCTGGGGACAGGTATCAGGTCACTTTCTAAAGGGGAGTTGCACTTTGATAGGCTGAGGTAGGATCGTGTGCGGATCAAGGTGGGGGTTCATTACACTTGCCGTGTGGATGAGGCTGAAGGTAGAGGCAGTGGAGCAGGAGAATACAAGAAAACTGAGGTAAAACTCTGGAATATGTTCTCAGTGCATTTTTCTTTCTAAAGAGCAGCTTATTCACCCCTGGAAACAGGTTTCTAGGGATTGAGGATGATGCCTTCCTACTTACTGCAGGTGCCAAGCAGAGAGGGCGTGCCAAAGAGAGCTCTGGCTCTTGTCTGGGGGAGGTAGGCCAGGGCTTGTGCCAGAGTCACAGAGCCCTTGGCCCCCTGCCTGCAGAGCCCATGGGCCTCACACGTGCTGGTGCTAACCCCCTTCCCCAGGGTCCTGACTGGAAGACAGTAGTAGGCTGGGGGAGCAGCCGGTGAGGATTGGGTGGGGGTGTCTTGCAGTCGGCAGATGACGACATGAGTGTGTTACTATCTGTTTTTCTCTCTAGACCTCAGAACCTTCCTGCTATTGAACATTCTACTAGAAAGCAAACTTCCCAAAAGAGCATCCAGGACCTCTTAGCTTTTGAGACAGGCCTGGGAGTGTCTGGTGGAGATGCCCGTGTGAGTTTTGGTGAGTCACTAGGGTGCGGGTTGGGACAGGCAGACCCAGCAGGAAGGAAGGCTGTTGGACGTGGAACTGGCCGTGTGAGGGCCGCTCCCTGACTTCCCACCTAGCTGGCCATCCCGGGGAACTGAGAACCATCTCCAGCTCAGGAAGGTCTGTAACAGGAGCAAAGGAAGGAATATGTGAGCGGAGCCATCTGGGAAATTTTCTGTAGGAAGACTGCCATCAGGAGTCTTCATCTCTCTCATTATATAAGTACATTGAAAGTGGGTCTTGGAGGCGGTTTTGAATTCCTGTTGCTGTTCTTGGTGTGCAGTTGCTGTGGCCTTTCAGAGGAGTCGTTTTCTGGAAACTTGCAAGAACCCCCTCGAGTTGTGGGTTAGGGGCATGGGGCCTGCCTGGTACTGTGATCTGAAGAGAGGCTGGCTGTTTTCCTGTGGTCAGGGCAATAGCTTGAGCCCAGTTCTGGTGAGGACTGAGTTCTGGCCACACCCCGTTTTGATCCCAGGAGGTGAAGTCTGAATTTGTCATCAATCATTGTCTGGTCTGGTGGTGCCCAGTGCTTGTGATTAGACGTGGCACTGGAGGTGTCCTCGGCAGTCCTGCCCTGTGGCAGAAAGCAGCTGAAGGCTTTCCTCCAGCACAGGAGGGGAGAGCTGTGGAGGGCTGGCCCAGGGCTGGTGTGGTCTCCTGGCCATCCCCGCTGAGGCAGGGGTTAACTACAAGCCTTGGAAGGGTCTGAGAGGGAAAAGAATAGATGACTTAAAGGGTAGGTAGGCTCCGCTGTTCGAGCCGAAGCTCTGGACAAACGTTTACGTTCTGGTAAAGGAAGGCTGGGGTCTCGTGTGTCTATATGTTTCCGAGTCTGGCCGCAGGACTCTGCTTGGCGACCTCTTGCTTATCGCTGATCCTAGGCAGTGGAGTTCTGGGGGAAGGAGAAGCAAGCAGGTCGAAAGCAGCGAGGACAAGGACAGAAGGTCCCTTTACTAGGCGTGGCTGACTAATGTGCTGAAACAGAGGCCCGTGGACTCCTGGACCTCCAGTAACTGGAAAACTTCCCTAATCCACACCCCCGGGGGGCTTGGGAGGGCAGCTTTCCCAGGCCCCTTCCTAGCAGCTCCAGCCCCGGGCCTGAGAGATGAGCAGGGGTCCAAAGCCTCACCTCGTCCCATTTCACCTCCCAGACTGATTTGGTTGCACAGCCCTAGATTTCAGCAAATGGCAAAAATGCCGAAATTCCTTAGAATCCGCAGAGGGAAGAGGTGACTCAACAAGGTGCTAAAACGTTTTATTAAAAATATATATTGTTAAATTAAGTCTGCTGTCTGGACAATGACTGTTTGTTTGTTTTCTTGTAGTGGAGTTTAAAAGAGACTATTATTTTACTCTGATATATTATTATTAAAAAGGCATTTTAACTTTGTACTTGAAAACTAAATGAGCGATTTCATGTGTTTTAGCTGAGGCATTGAAGTAGCGGGTGCTTACTTATTTGTGGGAAATCATGTATTCATACTGAAGAATAAACTCCGTAGCTGATTTGGTAATAACTTTTACTGTTACAGACGATTTCGCTTTGACCCCAGCGGCAGAACACTTTTACTCCACATTCCACGCAGCTAAATGCAGGACTTCCTCCCCAGATCCCTCCTTCCCCAGTCCTCCTTCCTTTCTCTTCAGTTCCTCTTTTTTCCTTTTTTTTTTTTTCTTTATTTCTGTTCCCTCTCTCATTGTTGCTGTTGTTGTTTTGGTTTGGAGAGTGCTTTTTGGAATTTTTTAGGGTTGCTTCTCTATTTATTGACAATAATAATGTACATTTCACAGTCTGGTTCTGGGACACCCAGGGAGGGGCGTGTGTGACAGGACCCTGCGTGGGTCCCCACCTCCGTCCCCTGGTGTTCCGTTGTATCTCTGTGTAAGTGATGCTTGTGACATAGCTGTTTATGAAATAATTAAAGAGGTCAATGCGTACAGCAGATGTAGAAAGTCTGTCAGTTCCGCCTTCATCACTTTTTTTTTTTTTTGTGCCCAGAAGAATATAATAAAGCTCCTTTCTAATGTACTTGTGCTGGAGAACACTTGAATAAATGGACTGTTTTTGTGCAAAAAGAAAAACGGAAAAAGCACCGTAATAATGTCCTTTTGTCTTGCGTCTCCTTCCCCCGACATGACGGTTCATGCCTTCTCCAGAGGGGTCAAGTGCCCAAGTGGGGGGGATTAGCACTGGGTCCAGACATGCAGTTTCTCCCTCTAAAACATCACCTGCATGATCATTAAATAGGGACTGTAAACTGGGTGGGAAAAAACAGTTTGGTTGAGTTGCAGCTCCACGCCAGTTAGAGTGAGACTGGGTTGCTGCTAATTCTGTCCTGGGCTGAGCGGTAGAAGTTTGCAGACTAGAGCAAGGAGAGCACAGGGCCACATGCCAGTGTTTTGGTTGGCTGGCCAGAGGCTTTTGGTCACAGGCACCATTCTGTTCTCTGGAGAGGGATTTCTCCAGCACGTAGGGGTGTCCGAGGAGATCAGCTGTGGTTGTGGACAGTTGGCTATGCAAGGGACCCCAGAACAAGCTGAGGTGTTTGCCTTAAAGAGGGTGAATTAAGGGATGTTTGCAAGCACTGACAGGGCAAGCCCAAGGGACTGGGATTATTCTGCTAGTTACATGAGGCAGGCAGAAGTGGGGCCACATGGTGGAAGTTCCTGGCCACCAGTGCAAGGGGCCACCCAGAGTACACGGAAGCCCTGGTCAGTTAGGAGGCACTGGGCAGCCGTTTGGGGATACTGCTGGCCTTCCTTGAGACCCCAAGTCTGGGTTCCTCTCACTGCCTGGCCCCTCTTCAGAACTGTCTTGCAAGCGGACAGTGCCCAGTGGCTTGAAGAGCTCTTCACACGCAATGGCCCCTTCGTCCTTACAATTCGTTGCCTGGGAGTTACTAGTTCCCTGTCTCCACCATCTAAGAGACAATCTGAACACATACAAGAATTGGGATTTTCCCACCACATCTCGGCTGTAAGACCCTGGCATTTTGTGCTGCATTTCTGTTTCCTAAGTGCCAAGCAAATGGGTCCAATGGTTTCTTCTCTTAAGGGAGGGTTACTCAAGGTTTCTTTCTTACATTAGATAATCGGGGGAGGTTTAGGACTGTACCACTTTGCTGGCAGCTCTGAAAAAAATTATAAGGGGAAAATTCGAGGAAAAACAATAGGCTCTTTTCTTGGGTACTTTTCTTTACAAAATTGTAAATGGACTTTTACTTTTTTCTCAGTAGTTTTCAGTGTTGGTGTAGAATTTCATTTGAAGTGGCTGCATGGCATTTTCTTGCTGGATGTTTGTTTTATATTACATGCATTGTATTTTAGCTCTAAGAAGAGTTGCAATAAATACATGTGTTGGCTTCCCCCCGATATTATATATTTTTTCCCTTATGATAGAGTCCCGGAAGTGAGGCTTATTGGGACAAAGTAGGTGAAGATTTGGGTTGGCTCCGGACACATTTGCCTGATTTTGTCTGAGTGGTCAGCGGACAGATAGTATATCTAGCTCTGAGGCTCCCTGTTGAGAAAAAAACAAACATAGTCCTCAGCAGTTTGACTGATTCAGAAAAATGTGTTAATTCCAGTGGGAAAGTAAAGACTCAAAACTTTTTTTTTTTTGAGAAATAAAAATCTGTAGCAAGAAGCTAGAGGTGGAAGCAACACTATCTGGACACTGAATTTGGAAAATCAGCTTACCTGGAGTGCCTGCCTGGAAGGAAGCCTGGTGGGAGATGGAATTCAGACAGTTTAGGAGACTAACTCCAAGGCTAAGAAGTGAGAGGGTGTCATCAGCACCTCTAGCTCTAAAGGCCAAGCCTGAGCACCCCAGTCATTTGAGCTGGGGGTGGGAGGGGTGGCCAGAGCTTACGGGAGGGAGCTGCTGGGCCATTTTGTTGTGAGTTCCTGGATTTAAATGAGGTGGCATTTGATGGAAGAGATGGAAAGGTCAAGGCCTGGCAAGAGTTAAGGCAGTTGTGGAGTGATGGGGGTCCACAGCCCATGGAGACTGTGCAGACAGGCCTGCCTGAGGTGGGGAGGAGATCCCACACACCAAAAGGTCCCAGCTTGCTGGTTCAAGAGTAACGTCCCTGGGCTTAGCATGGCCGAGTGAATCTAAGGTGGAATAGAGGGAGAAGTACAAGAAGCTGCCTGGTGGGGAGGGCAAAGCCAGACAGAGCAAAGCCAGAGGGGACAGGCCCAGGCAGTGGGTGGACTTCCTGGGGGTGGGGGTGTTAGGTGAGGGCCAAGAGGTGTCTGCTGTGGTTGGTTGCACAGGAAGTCACATCCAAGGGGGGTGGGGTTCCCTGGAGCAGGCTCCTGGCATCACCCCCAGGGCTCCCTTTCTCCATGGTTCCAGTGTGTTTCGGAGGAGGCGCAGCATGTTTTCCTCCTCTCAGCTGGGATGCTGTGGGTTGGGAGGAAAGTGCTGGAGATGTGAGGATTATGGGCAGAGGCCCCTGAGGAGCAGACAGGCGAAACAGCAGTTTTCAGAGCTGTATTCAATCTGAGCAACCCAGCTAAACTGGCATTTTGAACCCAAGTGCTGGGTGCTCCGGACTGTGTCAGAAGCATGATGGTGTTAAGAATGCATGGATCTGAATCCTGTGTGACCTTGGGCAGATTAGTTGGGTTCTGTTTTCCTGTCAGACATGTGGCCTCTGGTGCCTCCACTCCCAGCCAGGGAAGGAGACCTGCCTGCGGAGACAGCTGACGCACAGCCCTTGCTGAGCCAGGGCTTTGGCCAAAGTCAGTGCGCTTGGGTAGAGGGGGGAAACCTAGAGCCTTTGGAAGCTTTGGCCCCCGTGGAAACACAAGACCCCCACCCAACCCAAGGAGAAAGGAGCATAGAGAAAAGTGCCCCCACCTCCCTGCACAAACGTCCCTCAAGTGGCCCTGACTCACGTAAGTGCACTGACTCGCCACAGTGACGTGAGCGTGAACGATCCCCTGGGTCCTGCCCAGCTGGGTCAAGGACTTCCAGTACCTCCCTCCTGCTGGCCTCAGGAGCTGCCCTGGCTCCAGCTATCTGGCACTGTCCATTTCCCCATTTCTCCAGGCCCAGTTTCCTACTGGCACCCATCCATCTTAAACACACATACACACACACTGGCCCTTGACCCCCTCCCGACGCCCCATTTCTCTGCTCCAGTTGACAGCCGCACTTGCAAGCGCCCCCAGCATCTAACTGCCCTGCCACTCACTTTTGGGTCCCTCCACCCACCCCAGTGGGCCCTCGCCCCAGCATCCCATCTGACCTATCAGGACCCTTCCCTGGAAGCCCCTCTTCTCTGGGCTCCTGACACCCTCCCCCGTGCCTTCCTACCCTGCCGGGCCCTTCACTCTTCCTGTCCAGAGTTCCAAGGCTTCACATCGGCTTCCACCCCTGACTTCTCCCTGAGGCCCAGGTTCCTGTATCCAACTGCCTGCTTGGCCCCTCCATTTGGGTGTTAAACAGGCACCTCAAATGTGACCTGTCAAAAACAGTATTCTTGGCCTCTTGCCATCTTGCTCCTACACTTCTAAATCTTAAGAGCTGCGCTTCATTGGCATCAAACCCTGGGACAACCTTGGTTCCCCTCTTTTTGTCACTTCCCACATCCAGTCCAACCCATTCTGACAGTACTCACTTCTAAATATGTTCTTGATTGGGCCATTTCCCACTGTCTTTCTTCTGCAGCTTTAACCCGAGTCCCCATCTGTCCCCTAACTGGCCTCTGTCCCCATCATACCACAGCAGATCTGTTTGCTTCTGTTTCTGCCCATTCCAGCTCATTCAATACACAAAATAGTCTTACTAAAAATCAAACCCTTTAAAAAACCATCACTTGTATGCTATTGCAACAAGTGCCAACCCTGTTTATGTGTCTTACAAAGCACCCCCCTACTCAACACTCTAGCCACACTAGCCTTCTTTTTCTTGAACACACCAAACTGTCTCCTGTCACAGGGCCTTTGCACATACTGCCCCCTCTGCCTGGATGGCTCACTCATCTCCCTCCCCTGCCTGTTTCCTTTTACTCAGAGGAATACTCCCTGACTACTCATCTCCAGTAGTCTTGTGGCCACTTCTCATTTACTATCTTCTGAATAATTTATTACCTTCTATTTATTACCCTCTGAAATCCTTACTCATTATTTTGCTTGCCTGTTTGTTGTCCATCTTCCCCACTAAAATGAAAGATCCACAGGAGCAGGAACTTTTCCTTGTCTCTGCAGTAGCCCTAGGGCCTGGACCAGTTCTGATACATAATCGTTATATAGTAGTTATAATCATTGTGATAACTAACATGTATTGAGTGCTTTGTATGTGCCAGAAATAATGCGGCCTTAACTCATTTAACGTTCACAAGCTTCTGTGCTAGGCACTCTTACCCCATCTTACCAATGGGATGCATATTCTGCCCGTGGTCATGGGGCACATAGTGGTAATACCCAAATTTCAAAACCTTTCTGCATACTACAAGGCTTCAGGATGAAGCACAAGCTTTCTGCCCCTACTGTGCATCTCACACATCTTGGGCTCATTCCCTAAGGTCCCTGTGGCAGCTCCCTGCTCCCTCGTCGAGGGTGGGTGCACAGCCCCTCATCCTTCCCTGCTTGGTCCTGGCTCCTTCTCCACCCCCACCCCAGGGGGCTGCCTCTGTGGAGTGAGGGCATGCAGGGACT